CTTGACATGGGGCAGTGTACGAGAAACCATCACCAGAGCTAGAGCATGAGCAGTTGGTGTGCATCAATAAATTAACATAAAACAACAAAAGCATTAAAAAGAATTAAGCATGAGCTACAAAACGTGGAAAGAGTGGAGTCACGTGCTCATTCGTTTCTTTGTTTGGCAGGATCTCATGATAGCTCGGCAGAAAGCATTATGAACGTTTTGCAGAAGCTGTGCATGGGCGCCGCCATACCCGACCTTCAGTTCTTGTTTCCCCTTGTTACGTTCACATTACTTCATCACTACCACAGCAGGACATGCTCTTGCAATGTTATGGCGGATTCCACTGGGCGTTTTGGAGCGCGCCGGGTTCAGTTGACCAGATCCGGACTGGAGCACACGATCCGAACGGGATCGCACCGCCTACGGATCCCCAGTGGAACATGACCACTGCTCCGAAATTGGCGGATGCCTTCCCATCATTCAACTGGCCGGGGATCCCCTTTCTGAAGCCGCCGCGGTCGTTTCGAAGACGTTTCCGCAATCGCGGCGCTAACATGTGTTTGACGCACGAGTGGCAGGAATGGCTCATGCGCTTCTAGCAAAGATGGCCGGAATACCCGTAGCGCGGCAAATACCTTCTCTTCTCCTTCCTGGAAAACGAACCGGCTGTCGAACCAAGAGGTGAGCAAGCGGCCATTACGAACTCTTCTGATGTTGAGACAATCTAGGAGCCCGCGACGTGCGTCTTCTTCTTCTGAGGCGAGATGGGCGAGATCAGACGAGATGCCCCACGAGAAAGGAAGTCACGTGTGTGCGCCGAGGGCTGGCCCGGCTGGCTTCAGGTTGAATCCCCCGAAATCGTTGGAGCGACTTTTTTTGGATCCAGATCGAGATCTGGAGCGGGAGCTAATCCAAAACGAACAGTGAAACACGTCGGTCTCGATCCCGATCGCCCAGTGAAATAGGCTCGCCCCAGAAACGTCGATCCCGGCGCTCTCCAAAACGACCAGTGGAATTCGCCATTAGATTCTACCGCGTCCTTTCCAGCATAGGCCTTTGTGGAGGCTCGCCTCCGCCCGCTTCAGTGGCTCGGCATCTCGGTAAGAAGAGAGGGTCAGCATTGGCGGGTATAATCTGTCGCGTGTGCAAAGCGTGTATACTTGCAAAAGGTAGGATGAGAAAATTGTATCCGTGAAGAACGAAAACTGCTTGAGGCGACTCAGTCGAGCCGGCTGTTCTCAGGCTTGACAGGTGCTGGCTGGAAGCTGTCTGAGACCCGCGTTTTTCTTTTCGCAGGAGGATGACTCCGGCCCTGATCATCCGGGTACAAGGTCTCCAGCCCAAGGGACTTTACAAAGTGTTCCTCCTCTTTGTGCCGATGGGCTTGATGATCCGTGGTTCTGACGGCGACTGGACCTCCATCAACGCGCCCACGAAACACCCCATGAAGGGTAAGAGCCGCGCTCTTTATCATGCTCATTTTCCAGAAATGCCGACTTAGCGCCAACACCACTTTTTTTGGTCGTGCTTCAGATACCCTGTGCAACATATCTTTTTATACCATAAAAGGTGTGACTCTGCTTGTCCCAGTGTTTTTACCCTATGCGAATAACAGCAGGTAACAGCACTCTTAGGGTGGTCGTTAGCACACTAAAATTAAACGATGGCAATCTTGGCAACATTAAGTATATATATTAGTACCAACAAGTTCGAACTAACAAAGGTGACCGGCAGTTGTCACATGCACAAAAAATTTAAATGCAGACACCATGAATCACGAGGCTCGCAAGAGAAATTACGAGCCTCTGGACTGCTCCACGCCTTCTATAATCGACAATTCAAAGACACTTAATCACAGATGACGTTCTCCGTATTACGAAAGGTTAAAATATTTCGCTTTGTTCTCGTAGATATTTCACGTAAAACAAACATGGTTTTACTGAAAAACTTGTTAAGTACCATCAAAAACCACTAAATGAACTCTTTTTAGGGATATATATATAACAAAAAACAATCCTACGGCGTTCTAAAAATATAAAAACGCTCAATTTAACTGCGTTTTTAGGTTTCGATTTCTTGTCGAAGCGCATTTTTGCGCGCGCGGTCCTGCTCTCTGGTGGTCGCGGCGCGAAGCCATCGCCTCGCCTCCTCCCTCGTAAGATGGAGGGACGTATGGCGCACTTGTGTTGCACGTTTCGGCCACTGGGGAGCAGGACCGCTGGCACAGAGATGCGCTCTGATAAGAAATCGAAACCTAGGAACGCGCCCAGATTGTGCGTTTTTACGGAGCACCGTAAAATGTTGCCCCTACCTTCTATGCAGGATTCTGTGTTTTCGGAGTTTATTTTTGAAGAAAAATTGAGGCTATTTTTCGGAGTTCCTTTTTTCCCCCGAAATGGAGAGGTTATCGTAGCATTCATTTATGACATTCGAAATTCGGAGTTTTTAGGGGTGTTTAGCATTTCATGCTGTTCAACTTCAATTAGGGTAATGTTTGAACGCAGCAATAAAGGACAGTGTAACTGCAGACACAATTTTATTCAGTCCGTATTTAGAAAATTGCGGCCAAAACGAATGCTTGGTAAAACTTGTATTATACAAAATTTCATACGGACATGATATCTACCATATAAAGTTTCTGGAGAGCTACACTAGGCGTTTGAGATTAAAACCAAAGGCACAAGGTGCAAGTGACACATCCATAACCTTATCGGCAAAAGAATATAAATTTCTTGATAGAGGGCTCCACAAGCTGCAGTCATGACTTACGTTTTTCACGGCTATATAAGGGTTTGGTTTTTCAATAAATGTTAGTTTTGAGTGCGCCAGTGTTTAAGTCAACTTCTTGTCTCGGTCTATTTTTTTCGGCGTTTGTGTACGATTATGAACCAACTTGCACAAATTGCCACATTAATGCAACTGTCTGAATTCCTGTCGTCAACGAGGATGACAGAGGAACGTGTTCAAAGCTTCCACTGGTAGATCCGGAGCGTTTTCCAGAATCCGCGAGGGAGGCAAATTTTACACTTCGTGGCACTTGCTCCAAATCGACGAGCAGGAAGATGAACTCGCAATTTGGGAGCGACCCGAAGGACCCTCTCGAGACGGTCGGCTGTTCAAAATGGCCGCTGCTCGAACTCGACAAGCCGAGGAACGCTTGCAGAAATAACGCGCGACACAGGCCTGGCGAAAGTACCCGTATTACGAAGCCCATGTCAAAAATAATGAGAAAGACGTCCACGTTCGCCACCGTTATGGCTGCCCCGAAGCAGCTAGGCACACATAGCGATCGCCATCAGTGGAGTACAGAGTGCTGGTATGACTTTAATAAACATAAATAGGTAAGAAACCATTGCTTCCACGGTCGTTGCCTAATACGGCGACAAAAAAAAGAAAAACAAGTTTAATTTGAGGTTTGCTTTTTTCGAATTTTCTGTCGTTCTTTTTCTCGTTCTTCCTTTCACGATCCCAGAGGTCAGCGCTTACGATTTGCCACGCTCCACAGTCGCGGCTTTGTATCCCTGATCTGCGCGAGGTAGAAGCGTTCGAGCCGTCACAATCCCGCGTAAACAACTGAGGCATCCGAACAGATCCAACTCGAAGCGAGGCCGGTCCGGCGACCTCGCCGCGCTTGCGCACCACCGAGTTATAGGAAATGACGTAGCGCGCTTCCCTCAACTTCCGCCAGGCTCCCTGAAACCCCACGGCAAAAGTGCCGGCGGGGTTTGAGGCGCTCCACGGGGCGGGCGCTGCCACAAATCTACGAGTGGAAGATGACCAACTTGAGCCGGATCTGCCAGCGAAGATGCTCCCTCCAAAAGAGGCGTTTTTGGAGCGCTCGAAGTCTGCGAGCGGAATGAATAGAAAGAAAGGTATCCGCGAAAAAGGCTCCCTTCCTTGAACTGGTTCGGCCTTGGTTCGCCCATTGTCGTGAAGAGGATACCTTACTTTCCTGAATAAGGGTTCAGAGGACATCCCTTTTTAAGTTTTTGGAAAGTGCGAAGTGGAACGAACGAACTCGGAAACAATAAAAAGTGAACGAAGAAAGTGTATTTTAATCCAAGAAGATTTTTTTTTTTCATTTAGGTTTGTGGTTTTGGTGTTTTTCGGATAATTTCGAATTTGAACTATATTTACCGGCAAGCGTTTTTCGGATTTTACCGGATTTATCCGAAAACGCACTACCCTACTTGTATATTCCTGAAAAGGCTTCATCAAGTGGTTTTCAATTATGCTTAGCAAGGTTCTCAATGGAACCATCTGTTTATTTCCCTAATTTAAAACTGATTAGTAAATTTTAGTTAATTATCTTGTTATTTGGTATGTTTTGCAATCCTTGACGTCCGCCAAGGCTGGATGTATGTTCCCGCGAAGAAATTTCTTTTATGTCAAACTGCATATGTTTAGGGTTTTTTTGAAAGCTCTCTCTAAAACGCCCCTATATCTCCGTATAAAACGCAATGGTGCAGGCAAAAGTTCTTCTACGTAGTTGCTAAAACAGTCCAGATTACAGCTGTTTCGTGAGGGTGCCATTGCGGCGAATGCACTTCGAGAACGGTCTTTGCAGCACTGATTCTTTAAAAGGCACCTTCTGCCCACACCCTTTTTCTGCACTTCAAATATGAGTTTGTTTTTGTCACGCTACAGTGCACTGTGGTAGGATTAGAAAGGTTGTATTACTCAAAATAAGGGCTGTATCCGTAGGTGCAAGTCCTAAAACTCGTTGTACAACCGTAAGGAATAAAATTCCTTTGTGTGCGTGTTTGCGTGTGTGTATGTGGGGAGGGTTATGGCTAAACCCCCCCCCCCCCCTCCCCCCGAGACGACTGAGCGAGTTGTATTAAAACATTGGCAAGGTTAAGCAACACTGAAATAAGAAGCACCGCAACGAACAAACGAGATGTGTTGATTTGTCCACTCTTGCGTTTATGCAATTTGTGTTATTTCAAGAACGCTTCCCTGTAAGAGAAATTTCGAAATCAGAAATTCTTTTTTTTATTTTTCAGCTTCTACCTACGCTCACCCTCGTGGGACGATGGCTGGTCGAGACTGGATGTCCGATTTGATCGGATTCAATGACATCTTCCTGACCACCCACCCAGCTGCTGTTCGGCCCATGGTTATCTTCATTGAATACTTTTGTGTCCTACCATCACGTTGTCCCGTGTTGGCTGTCGACCGCACCATCCTAACTGTTTGTTCACTCTCATCAACACTGGGTGTCCCAAAAGATCGGATTCACTGACATCTGTTGACCCCCAACCCAGCTGCTAGTCGAACTACGGCTTTCGCAGGAGGACAAAGAAGGACAAGGAAAAGATGTACAGTGGCGGGCGATATATAAAAGCCCAGGCTAGAGCGTGGCTTTGAAGGTCTTAAGGGCTATCGAACGGAAGAAACCTTAGCTATAATTGAGGCACGAGCGGTATTTCAGTGGCTCTTCGATTATTGTCGTTACTCGCTACTTGGTTGGCCTACGACGGCTGAGTCAACACCGATTTTGGCACCGTTTTAATGCGTTAGCATTGGAACGCTCGTTTCTACGAAAGCCCGGCGGTGCCTTTCATTTGTCAGTTGTCGCGTGCGACGCTCTCAGTGGTCCGAAGCGCTGGCGTCAGCACGCATCAACATCTCCCTCTGACTCCGGCGCTGACAAACTGACAGACACCTCCGTGTTTTCGTCAAAACGAGCCCTTTCGTTTTCGGACAAGTCACGCGCACAGCTGAAGCGGAGTCAGAGAAGAAGAGGCGTCGCGCAACACCTCCTAGCTAACAAAGCCGTAGTGCTGAATCTGATAGCTAAATCAGAGAAGCCCAGCGCTGAACATAGATTTGATACGAGTACGTCAGCGCTCGTTTGAGTCAAACGTTGACGCAATCGTCGTGTCCAACCTGTGCCCAGTGTTAGCATTCTTTGTTGACGGCATCTCATTCAGTACTACGACTTTGTTATTTAGCAGGCGGCGCGGTGAAAGGTGGGCGTGCTCAGTTGCCGCTCTGCTGTCAACGGTTGTTGCTCGCTTTGTGTTTCCGTAGTATTGGTGCGTGGGCTTTGATGTCTATGCGTAGTTAAAACGATGGATTCGGTTCGTTCCACGAGCGGTACGGATGTGGTCCCTTTCCCCTAGTGATATGGATAACCGTATCCAAGGGCGTCAACGTACTCTGACAGGCAGAGGAAAGAAAAGGGGTGAAAAAAATTACAGGAAGATCCATTGGTGGATTCTTGGGGAATCCGTTAGCATGACCCTTGGAAAGCGCTAAAACTGACCTCTTAATGTGGCCCAAAAAAGCAGTAAAATATGGAGAACGCAAAAAGGAAAGTAAAAAGAAAAAAGGAAGGGGTCAGCGTTTGCATTTCCCAAAGTGGGACGTGTGTGGCGTTTCCAAGAGTCATGCTAACACATTCGCTAAGAATCCAACAATGGATCTTCCTGTAATGTTATGGGATCAGGCTTACGTCGTTCCAATACAAAAAGACGGGCTTTGACAAAAATTAATGCTCCATGAAATAAAGTAAAAGACCGCTTCTCGTCTTTTATCCAGCGAACTTATTATCAAACACCCGTAAACCGATCGCTCAGCTTGCCGCCCTGGTCGTTTCAGCAGCGCTTGATTTTGCCTTCTCTCGCGGAAGGCCTCTACATTCGACACTGAAATAAGCATTAACACAGCGCCAGCCGGGCTAGGAAGGGAACGATATTAAAAACCGAACAGAACCTGAAGCCTCGATCATGGTAGAACTTTCTTCTCGTAGATGGCGCTGCAGGCTTTCCAAGTCAAGCGCCCGCCTGGGCTTTTTCTTAATATCCGCGACTACACACACACAAGGCGCCGACTGTCAATTGAATGCGGACGTTCATTCCTTCTTCATTTTCGTGTTTTTCTTGTGTTTCTGTATGCGAGTGCGTTCTTCTGTATCCTTCTGTTCATCGGTCAGGTCGGCCATTGCTGCTGAGGTAGACGATGTGATGAAGCTGATCAACGTAGCATTAGTTGTGAGCAGGGCACTCAGCGGCTTGGTTTTCTTCTTCCGCACCATGGGGACATGATTGTCACAGGTACACGTGACCCTGTTCAGGCGGTACCAACTAGCCGTCCAGTTTATCGGACCTGGCAATCCTGAGCTTCTGGTTCTCAGCCAGCTCCAGTTCGTGACCGTCAGTCGCAGCTCGTCCCGCCTGCAAGTGAAACTCAAGGCAGATGGATGGGGCAATTCAGCTTCGTACATGAAACGGATCCGCACACAAAGGTAAGCACCCCTACATCTTCCGTTACGAAGCATAGTGTGTAAGGCGAAAAAAAAAAAAGACGAATGTTGCTTCAGGAAGTGTCCTTGTTATAAAACTTTGGGACATGTCAAGCAGCCTTGTTCACGACCTTTTTTTAAATCTTGAGCGTCTTGGTAACATTAAATGTGTTTGTAGACAGGCTAAGCTACGGAAAATGCTGCAGTCACCGAAACACTAATCTTGAGCGGCCGTGAGTGTATGCTGTGCTGGTAAATCTGAGACGCAATGGAAGCTGTCTGTTTCTTCTTTATTTTTCAAACAGCGGGATGCGTCAGAGGATCCATGGATTGCATTCGGAACAGTTGGGTAAGAGCCTGGAAACGGCGAGCTTCAATCCTTCTGAAGAAAAGTGCCCATATGCATTCGACTGCTCTTCCTGTGGACTCCCCGCGGATCCACAATCAGCATGCCTGCCACCGCAGGAAGCAGCTTCCTCTGATCAGTTCTCGCTACCCACAACCGCCCATAAAGACTTTTGGGGCTTTGCCCTGCCAACCACCACAGGTTCCTGTGACACTACAGGTTCGCACAGTGTTGCCGTCCACACGTCATCAAGCCTTGAAAGCGGTCCGCCAGTTACTCGCAGTGAATCGGCTGCTCAGGCGTCGCCATGTCTTCGCGACTCCTCCCTGCCCTGCAATCCTGAACAGCCAATCGAGGTTTCAGAAAGGTACCAGAACTTTCCGCCAGTCCCCTGTGACGATCCGCAGAGTGATCTGCTCCTGGAGGACATTGAGCAGCGTGGAGAGCAACGTCTCTACAAACCCTGTGCTGATTTAAACGCGGGTATCTCATCTCAGCTGCTCGAAGCTCGCAAGAAAACCGAGCAACCAACGTGCCCACGCGCCGAAGCATTCTGGACTCGGTTTTGTGCAGTCTGCTTGGACTTGTCTACTGACTCAGTTGCAGACATCGTTGCGAATGAGAACACACAGAGTGCGGAGTTTCAATCATGGATCGACGTGTTAGCAAGTGACATCGAGTGCAATGGTTCGACATCGGTCACCACAGTTGGAGAAAAGCTCCTGGAGGTTCTGGTGTATCGGTTCTTCTCGCTGAGGCTAGGGCGCTTTCCCACGGCGTCGCAGTCATGAAAATTGTACGCCTAGACTTTGTTTCAGCCCCGCTCATTCTCGAAGCATTTGTTTCCTGCTGTACTTTGGTGAAGTCTGTAGCACCGAGCCTTTTATTCAGCGTGTACACTAACGCCTCGAAACCTTTTTAAACAGTCCACAAAATTCTTCTTCTCGACGTGTCATTCCATGATTCACAACAAAGGTTTGGCTAGGTGGCAGAACTATTGAGTGAAAATATCAACAAATGCTCTTACCGCGTTCAAAATAAAAAAAAAAATAAAAAAAAGTCTCTTTCTGTCGATTTTTGAGGGCATTTGCCGGCGATCCCATAACGGTGCTCGCCGAGTTGGAAGTACTGCCGACGGAGGGGAGGCCCCAGCAAAATGAAAGATTTGGGAGGAGGGGGAGGGCGTGCCCCCCCTCCCCTCCCTTGGCTACCTGCCTGATCCTGGGTTCAGTCCCCACCCCCTGCCCGTTTCGATATGGATGAGCACCGTACAGGCATGCGGTCGTGTATCACTGCTGCGTGGTGCACGTTAAAAACCCTAGGCTAGCGGTTGTATTAGAACGGCGAGTTGGGCTAGTTGGTTGTATACATGCTTGAAGTGAGGCGCCAAAACAACGAGGACACAAGGACAGATGCAGACAGGACGAGGCGCCTCGTCCTGTCTGCATCTCTCCTTGTGTCCTCTTTGTTTTGGCGCCTCACTTCTAGCGGTTGTACTGCACTGGCTCAGTTGTTCATCTACAGCTGAGACACCAGACGCCCATCGGGGTTGACAAACTTCTAACTGTATAAACATACACTCACAACAATTAGCTTTGAAAAATCAAAACATCTCAGCATTGGCTTCGCTGTGGTCAAACTTCGATGTGTTTTCTTTTTTTTTTTTTTTTTTCTTATGAAGACACTGAATTTAGGAGAAAAAAATGTTTCTACGTGGCTATAGGACAGGCATGTCTGCCTGGACAGGATAGGCAAAAAACGCGCCGCCGTCGACCGTGGGGCGTTTTTTGTTTGCTAGACGCTTATGACAAACATTTCAGCAAAACAAAAATCTTTAATTCTGTGCACCCCCTTTCCCCCAACTCCAAAACACTTCCAACGAACCTGGTTCAATTGTTCAAATAAATGGCGATGTGATTTGAACCCTTAAAGTTGCACTTGTGATCTTGGTTAAACGGGGTGCTTTATTGTTAGCAGCTCGCAGGAACGATTCAGAACGCTGAGGCCCATATGTATGCAGCAAAGACATCTACGCGCGACACACCTTCAAATCTTTGCCACGACGTCGATTCTTAATCAGTATCCAAGCGCGCGAATGCAAAGAGACGCAGAACTTCGGTGTGCCAAGGAAGCTTTGATCACGTCGCGAGACCGGCGAGACTTGCGTTTGACGAGTTGTGCCTTTTTCCTGCGGTGCTGCGCTTTCGTAAAACTTTCCACCAGTTCTCAAACACAATTATCACTGTTTACACAAGGTTAAAAAAACAAACAAAAAACATTTGTTATAGAGATCAGTGTACGGACCACGCGCGGGAGCGAGATACGGGTTCGGGTAAATACACAAAAACTGGATTGGATTGGATTGATACGTCTAAGGCGAAACGACTTTGTGTCATTGTTGCCAGCACGCCTCCCAACTTCTCCAAAAAGTGAACATGTTTACGAAGTATGGCCATGAATGTTTATGAAACTAAATACCATGTACCTTTACTTCACACATATAAAATAGAGCACTATAAAAACAGAGAATCATATATGTAAAAGTAGTGCTCTTTGTACACTGCGTAATGGAATTCCTCTCGCACACTCTTTTGCAATGCGGATGCTTTTCTGAGGTAGTGCTCCGCCCGTCAGCCTTCGGCCCCAAATACTCTGCAAGCAAATACCGGCAACTCCCGCGGAGAGCGGGCGAAAAGTGATCGCAGAGACCCTGGCGAGCTCGAAGTTTCCGCTAGTAGACGAATTCTCTATAACGCATTGGTTTTACCTATCTCCGTACGAGGTGACCAATGAAAAACAAATTGTGACGGGTATTCGCTGCTATGAATGTTAAAAAATAAGTGCCACCTTTTGAGGGAAGGACATTTTCGTCGCGGGGGAAAGGTGTTGCAGCTTTCAGGGTACGATATTCGGGCTCTCCTGAAGAAAACACTCTGCCAAAACTTATCTAAGCCAGACAAAACACGAATGTACCTTTGGCGCAGTTTTTTGAAAAAGCGCAATGTACAAAAATTTTAGAACAAAGCTTCGTTTCAATTTTGCTGTTCGTATCAATCAATTCGGTTTGTGGCAATTCGCATTTCTCCTGAATGTCTTGCTTATAACCGTTTTGTCGAATAGGCGAGCTGGCTAATCCCGTTAAGATCGTCTAAGGATGAAGAAGCAAAAGGAGATTTCGAACCACGTACGTTACTGCAAGGTCAATATGTTCTGGAAGAAGTCGATTGTGCACATGTCAATCTGACGATATTCGTGAAATTAATAAAAACAAAGTTAAAAAAAAAACAGACTTTTTGCGTGTGCAAAAGAAAAAAGAGGAGAGCGTTGCAGTGCAAATAAAGCGATTTCGGTCGCGTTATGTACGGTGCACCAATTCTGATTGTTAGTGCAGGGACAAATAACGTCTTCTGCGTCTTCTACGGTAACCTCCATTTTTCAAAGTCCACTTTCTTTTTATGTTTGAGGCTATGCTATGCCGGCGCGGACTGTCTTCCTCCTGCTTTTATGTTTTTTTTTTTCTATTGTGTTTACTTGACGTTAGAACCATCGCGTATTTTTCTTTGCCTTGTTTAGCTTAGTTTTTACTCTCTTTCCTTCGCTTTAACGTTTACTATGCCCGGACATTTTGAGGGCCGTCTGCTGCTTTGTTGTTGCTGTTGTTGTTGTTTTATAATTGGGTTGTTTGTATGTTTATACAGCCTAGAACTTGGTCTGCCTCAACGGGCGACGAGTCTCCCAGCTGTATTTAGCTAGTGCAGTACAACCGCTAGCCTGGAGTCTTTAAAGTGCACCACGCAGTAGTGGTACACGACCGCACGCCGGTGCGATGTGTTGTTTCACTGTCGTCTGCGATGACCTCCTCTTTCCGCGGGCACATCTGCTATGGGTGATCGTGTGTTGATTAGCCGGCCGCCTTCGGGCATACACCAGCGCATACATGGAGGTGGCAGGCATGCCATATGTTGCCTACCACTGCAAAAACAAGTTTCTGCGATGTGGTCGAAAATCCTTCTTCCGTTTTCCGAAGACCGAACAAACGTGAGTAATTAAGTTACTGCGGAGGCATGCGGATTAGAGAAGCTCGATTTAGCGAACGCTGTTTTACCGACCTCAGTTTATCGAATTCCTTTATAGAGAAACCCAGTTTAGAGAAAATGGCGATGAGCCTCCTTTTAGAAAATTCGGACGCCGCGAAGCGGCGTCTGCAGGTAAACCAGGTGAGTTAAAATTTTTGTCATGAGCCGCCGCGGACTGCCGTGGCGAAGCGGCGGGAGCGCAGCGGGGGGCTTGGGTTACCACGTGCACCAGTGATACACGCGCGCAGTAGAAAACCCTTTTTGAAATAGCGTCCCCTTTTCGATAAATGGCATTTCTCTAAACCGAGGCTCTGCTTTCTCTAAACCGTGCTTCGATAGAACGTGCCCGTTCTCTAAAACGTACTTCGACGAAATGGCATTGTATCAACCGTAGTAAACCCAAGTTACTGCTGCAATCAAATTAAACTGGAATAGCTATCCAAGTCTGTCTTCAAAATCGCCACTGACGCCTCAATAGACGATTATAGCAACTCCACGGAGATCGCGGAGAACTTCACGGACGACAGATCAGACGCACAACTCAACATCCAGTCCTATGTAGGCGGAAGGACAGCCAGTCAGATCTCTCATCGTGCTTGCCAAGTCCCACTGCAATCAGAAACTATGCAACACTTCGAAAGACATTTCGTTAAAGAACGAGAACTATTCGCATGCGAAAATAACACCACCTTCCGCCTTAGCTCGTCACCTAGCCGGTAACATCAGCCGTGCCTTCGACACTAGGGGTGTCGCGAACCGGCCGCGGTTCGAGTTCGACCAGGTTCGACTTTTTCGACCTTATAGTGAAAAGTTCGTCGATCCTTGTATTGAGGTTCGACTCGCGTGCGCATGCGCGACAGGCTGGCCAGTTGGCTTTGGATTGGATGGTAATGGCTAAGAGATGAATTAAGTGCAGCGCTGATCGGCTATTTCAGTCAATACAGTACTAAAATTTAAGTTATTAACTTCTTCAGTGAATAGAATTAGTTTCTTTTAATTGCAGCTGTTCACGCAATAAAATAACCCTTTGCATAAAAAAAGAAATTCTCCAAACCTAGACATGCTTGTATCAAGGTCTGGTCACACTGTCCACAAAGTCGAACCGGTCGAATCTGGTGAAAGGTTCAAAGGTTCGTCGAACCGGTTCGACCCAGTCGAACCCCGAAAGTTCGACCAAAACATCTGGTTCGACAAAAGTTCGCGACACCCCTATTCGACATACCAGACAAAAGCTCAGCTGAAGGCCGACTTGAGGCCGCTGATCGACAAGACAAAGACGCGGTGGGCAAAGCTGCCTGGGCACGTACAGTACGTCAACAAGTACTTGAATGTACTTTTGAACTGCTTCGTCAAGCGAGCAAACAAACAACCTGCTAAAGTCACTGGGAATAGAAGTGAGAAAGCAAAAAAGGTCATACTCTGCTTGCACGTACTATACTTTGTTTCATCTTAGGTCCGAGCGCGGCCGATGTTGTGAGCCGAAGGACCAATCAAACAGCGGAAGAGGCAAAACGTCATGGCGTGCTCTCTGTTGTTGATAGGACCAGCCGGTATTCGCCGTCTCTCTGTGCACTGTATGCTCCTCCGCCGGCTAGTCAAGCGCAAAGAGCACGCCATGACGTTGCGCTTTTTACACTGTTTGATTGGCCGTTAGGCTCATAACATCGGCCACGCTCGGACCGAAGATGAAGCGAAGTATAGATTACAGCATGCGACTCTGCGATTCTTGTTTTACGGGCAGTGTGACATACATGGGTAAATTACTTTCAAAATGTAATTTAATTACAATTACAATTACTTAGCCCCCAAAGTAGTTTAACTACAATTACAATTACTACTACGCGAAAGTAGTTCATTGCAATTACAAATTACTTTTTAAAAGTAATGCAATTACTTTACAATTACTTATTTCTGAGAATTACCCACCTTGGGCCATATAACTGTAAACGAGTTATATGGCCGCTGTATAAATGTCACGCATTG